TGAATTTGGGGAGACATTGAAACCACAGCATCTCTCTTGCCAACTTAATTATTTTTCTCCTTCACATGGGGTAACATTTCATTTGCTTTACTTTTTATCTTGTTTTTTTTTTCCCTCCTCCACTGAAACTCTGTGTATGTGTGTGTGTTTGTGCGCGTATTATTTGTGTATGTGTGTTTTGTTCATTGCTCTATCTTTAGCACCTAGTACAGTGCTTTGCACATAGTAGGCACTTAATAAATACTTGTTAGATAAATGAATAAATTGAACTGAAATGAATCTGGATACTGCTGGCAGACCTTAAGTTCCCTGATTGATGAACAGTGTGGACAGTACAGAGGGAATGGTGTCCCACAGTATGAAGCTATGATATTCTAAACAGAGATACTTGACTCAGAAACAGAGCAGCCACATCTGCCCAGACTTAGACTTCTATGAATCCATGAACGTGGGCTGGCTCTGCGAACACTGCTGTGAAGGCTACATATTTTGCAGACCACCTAGGCATAGGTAGGATGGTCTGCCCTGTCATTTATGATACCTGCAAGCAATGTAGTTGGTAGTTTTATGTGGCTTAGATGTTCTGAATTATCCAGGGATCATGAATTTCCAATCAAGCCAGGGCCATCACCAGCATCCTGAAGAACACAAAGATGGTTCACCCAAGAGCATTGGTTCTTTTCTCTTGCAACCATGGGTTGAATGTAGGCCTTAGTGGCACTCATTTCACTGTAGATGCTAACAACAAATGTGGCCAGGTGGCTAGTCTCTTTCAACCAAACACACTAGGCAATCAGTTCAGCTGGCTATCAGCTTTGGGAGTTCATAGTATCTGGCTCCAACACATCCTAACAAACCCTCCTATAACTACCCACAGAGGGCAGTGCTTTTCTAGGCTATGCCAAAATATTGCTCCAGTGTGGCTGCTGAGTTCTTATTCCTGAATGAACCATTGAGTAATCTGTGTTCTCAGCTTAGGATGTGCTTTTATACAGTCAGCACAGGTGGGCCAGGAAGCCTGTCTGGTTTTCACTAAACTAGACTCTGTTAGTTTTACAGCATAGTTCACCTTCACAGCGGAGAACGGCACAACCAAGTATACAATGTAATTTCTAAGCAAAGGTGGGAAAATTAACCTCAGGTTTTATTTAGAAACTTTTATTGTGCTATGATACAAAATAATGACTTACTATGCTAAAAATTGTAGAAAAAAATGTCAGCAGGGAAAGTTGTGTATTTATAATATTTATTCAAAACAACTATTTATATAGCAGTCTTGTTTACAGAACCAAGAAGGAAGTCAAAGGGTGGATTTCTCTAAAAGTTTTACATTTGTTATATGAACTTAATACATCATGGGGTAAGCTAGTAATGACATCTAATGGCAATTAATATGTATTTTATTTTATATACATGAAACATCATGTTTATTGAAATTGTTATGCAATTTGAATTAAACTGGTTTGGCTCTTATGCATTATCATCTAAATTTGCATGTATGTTTTTTTTTTTTTTTTTTTTTTTTTTTTTTTTTTTGAGACGGAGTCTAGCTCTGTTGCCCAGGCTGGAGTGCAGTGGCACGATCTCAGCTCACTGCAAGCCCCGCCTCCCGGGTTCACGCCATTCTCCTGCCTCAGCCTCCCGAGTAGCTGGGAGTACAGGCGCCCGCCACCTCGCCCGGCTAATTTTTTTTGTATTTTAGTAGAGACGGGGTTTCACCGTGTTAGCCAGGATGGTCTCGATCTCCTGAACTCGTGATCCGCCCGTCTCGGCCTCCCAAAGTGCTGGGATTACAGGCTTGAGCCACCGCGCCCGGCCGCATGTATGTTTTTAAAATGAGTTTGGTTAGCCCTTTTATGTTTGCTTTTTGTTTGTTTTCCAGTGGAGAACTTTATTGGCTTGTCATGAATTTTGAGCAGAAATTTAACAGGTATCTAGTTAGTAAAAAGGTAATTGTTTATTCCAATGTTTAACCAATCAAGTGTATTTTCTAATAAGTTAGAAGATCAAAAAATCTGGCACCTTCTAGTTTTTTATTCAAGTCTTTGTATTTCCGCTGCTACTACTCTTATTGACTCTAAAATGACATTTTTCTTTGAGTCTGTTTTGAGTTTTTCTTTATTTTTTAATTTAACTGTATTATTGTTATTTTTTAGACTTGCTCTGTTGCTCAGGCTGGAGTGCAGTGGTGTGATCTTGGCTCACTGCAACCTCTGTCTCCCAGGCTCAAGCAATCCTCCCAAGCACAAGCAATCCTCCCACCTTAGCCTCCCGAATAGCTGGAACCACAGGTGTATGCCACTGTGCTCAGCCAATCTTTTTCTTTTTTTTGTAGAGATGGGTTTTTGCCATGGTAGCCAGGCTGGTCTCGAACTCCCAAGTTCAAGCAATTAGCCCGCCTCAGCCTCCCAAAGTGCTGGAATGACAGGCATGAGCCACCATGCCCGGCCTTCAAGTCTGCTTTGAATGCACTGTTATCACATCCAGTGCACACAACTGAATAACAACACCATAATAATCTGCATTTTGCAGATATTGAACAGTTATCTGCCCTCAGTCACGTTGCCAGAAGTGGGTAGAATTAAAATGAAAACTCAGGAGTTTGTTTCCACACCAGATACTCTTAACCATTTCATTAAAACTCGACAAAACTTAAGTGGAGAGATACATATATATTTTACTGCACATTTCTTATTAAAACCACTTTATTATGCTCATTGAAAAAATATTCTCCCAACTGAAAACCTTTGGTAAGGTATAAGATCTCCCCAGTGAAGAAAACTTCCATCCTTTTTACTGTGTGTGTGTGTGTGTGTGTGTGTGTGTGTGTGTCTGAGACAGAGAGGTTTTTTTGAGTCTGTTGCTCTGTTGCCCAGGCTGGAGTGCAGTGACACAATCGTAGCTCACTGCAACCGGAACTCCTGGGCTCAAGGGATCCTCCTGCCTCAGCTTCCCAAAATGCTGAGATTACAGGTGGGAGCTACCGTGCCTGGGCTAGTTGTGTTTTGTTTGTTTGTTTTTTAAAAAAACTTAACTAGAGTCTCAAGATGAGAACTTTGTAATGAAACAGTTCACCCTGAATGTATTCTTACCTCCCAAGCAGGAAGGATTCTCTTCCTCTTCAGAAGGCCTGTGTCATTCTATCAGTATCACTTTTCTAGAATTTCCTCCTTGCAACGCATTATTTCTGTAAATGTCATTTTTCCTCTTCCAGGTAATAATAACTCTGGGGGCAGAAGTTCTGCATTCTTTGTCTGTATACCTTTTATCCACTAGAAGAGTATACTCCATACCGTTTTGTGTGCTTAATAGTAATATCATGGCCAAGCGTGGTGGCTCACACCTGTAATCCCAGCACTTTGGGAGGCCAAGAAGGGTGGATCACCTGAGGTCAGGAGTTTGAGACCAGCCTGGCCAACATGGTAAAACCCCATCTCTACTAAAAATACAAAAATTAGCCGGGCATGGTGGCGCATGCCTGTAATCCCAGTTACTCCAGAACCTGGGAGGCCGAGGTTCCAGTGAACCAAGATCGCGCCCCTGCACTCCAGCCTGGACAATAAAGTGAGACTCTGTCTCAGAAAAAAAAAAAAAAAAAAAAAAGGAGTATGATATATGACCTTTGTCACAATCTCTTTCTGTGCACACACAAATACACTCCCTGCCTAACTCAATTCATTGAATCTTGGGGGTGGAATTGATGAATAACACAAGAAAAGGAAAAAAGAAAGAAACGTTTGGGAAGGAAATAACTAATACAGGAGGTCTGTTATGGGTTGCACCCATTTGATGAATAAAGGAATTAAAACTCCCAAAAGAGGACAAATATTAACAAATATGTATGAACAGATGCAGAAAACATATCCTCATTTGCAACCTGGAACTAATTGTTTAGTATGATTTTTGATACATATAAGAAGGAGTACTGGGCTGGGTATGGTGGCTCCCGCCTGTAATCCCAGCACTTCGGGAGGCCAAGTGGGGGGAGTGCTTGAGACCAAGAGTTCAAGACCAGCCTGAGTAACATAGTGAGACCCTCGTCTCTACAAGAAAAGCAAAAATTAGCCAGTCATGGTGGCTCACACCTGTGATACCAGCTACTCAGAAGGCTGAGGTGGGAGGATCAACTGAGCCTAGGAGGTCAAGGCTGCAGTGAGCTGTTATCACACCACTGCTCTCCAACCTGGGCAACAGACCAAGGAAAAACCAAAAAAGGAATAGTCTGATACCTAAGACAGGTTAAAGTGATGGGGGTATTGATAACCATAAAGGTTGGCTCCAAGCCTGTAGAATTGATCATTTAAAAGCATAAAACCAGCCTGGGCAACATGATGAAAACGCCTCTATAAAAAATACAAATATTAGCCACGCATGGAGGCATGTGCCTGTAGTCCCAGCTACTCAGTAGGCTGAGGTGGAAGGATCGCCTGAGCCCAGGAGGTTGAGGCTGCAGTGAGCCATGATCATGCCACTGTACTCCAGCCTGGGTGACACAGTGAGACTCTGTCTCAAAAAACAAATAACAAAAATAAAAAATAAAAAGCATAGGACATGGGGAAATTTTCTGCTATGTTGATTTACTATTCCAGTTTCATGTTGACATAATACATCGAGATGGACTTTTTTTTTTTTTGGTTAAGGTTTTTATCTTGAGGACATAACCTCTGGATTTGAAGGTCATGGTATATCCCATGCTGTTCTTCAGTGTGATAACTTAGGAACAAATATGATTTGAACTCATTTGGGTTTAGAGAGGATGTCAGAAATTGAGAGCCGTTTACTTTAAAAAAATGTAGAGAATTTTTGAAAGTGGCGTCAGTATGTCCATATTCAAGTGGAGATAAAATGAACCAAAATAAAAGAACTGTGGGCAGACAGGACAACTGTGGATTATGCATCAATTCTTTTGAAAAGTGCTATCTTGAAGATAAATCTTGACTCAATCTTTAGAGAAACTAAGATAACCTTGATGAGCAGTGAAGGAATCACAAGATGTGAAATTCCTTGAAGAAAAATTTATTGACTTTAAATAATTTTGTCTAGTATTACACATAATTTTAAAAACTCTTTACACTGTATAAAGTCAGCATGTATTTTTGGCTCAAAGTTTCGCTAGTGTTTTCTGTAGAGGGAATAAAAATTAAATTTAACAGTTTCATTTGTGGTATGCTTTAGGCTTGAAACACTGAAGGCCCTCTCCCCATCTGCCTGCTCCCCTTATACATTTTTTTCCCTTGCTCTATTTTGGGTACAGGCTTCTTGCTTTGCTTTTTCTTCCTTTTGTTGTTTCACTTCAGTTAATTAATTGTATAATCTGTAAGAAATTTATACAGAATTAAAGACAAATACTGCAGGAAAGTAAATTACTAAAATAAAGGAAACCCTATAAAAAAAGAAGGCAAGTATTAACATTCTCATATCAAATACCAGTTAGATTGACCTTATTTAGCTGCAAGCCCCCAATGATTATAGCATCAATTAGATGATAAGGGAATAAAGAATACATAACTCTTAACAATGAAGAATTCCTAGTTTATCAAGAGACATGTGGTTCAAAGGAAAATCTAAAATGGTAGTGATACATAGGCAATCAGGAATGCTGAAATACATTTAAAAATAGCTGCAAAACTGGTGAAAGTTGTCAATATCCACAGGGCAATAATCAGTTGCTTTCTGCCAGCACACAATTCATCTGCATTTCTATGGTCAGAAAGCATGTGTATTATTCTTAGTTCTCTACAATTTACAGAGTCATAAAATATCTCATAGATAATGATAGGTAGAGATAACCCAGAAAGATGTGCATGACACGACACCTGGTACCCTTTTATACCCATTTCAAAGTCTACTAATATAATACTATAGTATAATACTAATATAATATAACGATATCAATATACTTGGGCTTGTTGGTTTCTGTACCACTTTGTACTTGTAGGACTTACTGAATATCTCAAATAACTTTTGTCTATGTGGGTTATAACTATCAACACTTAATGTTTTGGTAATTGAAAAAAAGAAAATTTTAAATATTGATTGATTTGAAAATAGCAATGATGAACATGTTGCATATTAACATTCTATCTTGGTATTTTCAGGAGGAAAAATAATTAATTTTTTCCTAAACTCCTCCTAGTTCTTAGCTGGGACTTCTATAATGAAAGATAGATTAACAAGAGAAAAATTAAGTTATTGATGAATATTGCACACATCATGCAGAGAAATCTCAATGAAAAGTAATTCAAAGCAGTGGCTTAGAAACTGTGGGAAGGTAAAATATATGGGAGGAAACTAGAGCAGTAAGGTTTGTTTGCAGATTCCTCTGGTGCCATGTCTGGGCTTATAAGAGTCTAAGATTGTCTCCAGTAAAGAAAAATTAAGGGAGAAAAGGGGTTGGATAGAGATAGCTTTTCTTCTGTTTGCTGCTTCGTAATTGCCGTCAGCCTGAAAATAATTTTTATGTCAAAGCAGCAAATTTTGGGGTGGCATATTCTGGTTTCCTTCAGTATTATTATATTTGTATCACTTGGATGTTACAGATACCCTGAAAGAGAATCACTGTCTTAAAATGTTAGTTGTTTCCAGAATATCAAAAAGCATAATTAAGTACTGTCTTAGTTCATGCTGCTACAACACAATATCATAAACTGAGTGGCTTATAAACAATCAGCATGTATTTTTCACAGTTCTGGAGGCTGGGAAGTCCACAATCAAGATACTGGCAGATTTCAGTGTCTGATCAGGGCTAGTTTGCTGTTTCACAGGCAGCTGTCCTTTCACTGTGTCCTCATATGGTGGAAGAGCAGAAGAGGAAGGGATCTCCGGAGTCTTCTTTCTTTCCTTCTTTCCTTCCTTCCTTCCTTCCTTCCTTCCTTCCTTCCTTCTTTCCTTCTTTCCTTCTTTCCTTCTTTCCTTCTTTCCTTCTTTCCTTCTTTCCTTCCTTCCTTCCTTCCTTCCTTCCTTCCTTCCTTCCTTCCTTCCTTCCTTCCTTCCTTCCTTCCCTCCCTCCTTCCCTCCTTCCTTCCCTCCTTTCTTCCCTCCCTCTCTCTCTCTCTCTCTTTCTCTCTTTCTTTCTTTCTTTCTTCTTTTTTTTTCAGTCTCACTCTGTCACCCAAACTGGAGTGTGCTGGCATGATCTCAGCTCACTGCAACCTCTGCCTCCAGGTTTAAGCGATTCTCCTGCTTCAGCCTCCAAAGCAGCTGGGACTACAAGCACGTCATCACACCTGCTTAATTTTTGTCATTTTAGTAGGGATGGGGTTTTGCCATGTTGGCCAGGCTGATATCAGAACTCCTGGGCTCAAGTGATCCACCCGCCTCAGTCTCCCAAAGTGCTGGGATTATAGGTGTGAGCTACTGCCCCCAGCCTGGAGTTTCTTTTATAAGGGCTCCAACCTCTTGACCAAATCACTTTCCAACGACCTCACCTTGTAATAACATCACATTTGGGCAATAGATTTTAACATATGAATTTTGGCAGAACACAAATATTCAGTCTACATCACAAAGGATTGCTACTTTAGGACAATACATACTGTTTTTTTTTTTTTGGAAAAGGCAAGCACAGTTTTATTTTTCTGTCACTATTACACTTGATGGAATGTCATCCTCTTTTTTTATACTGTTCAATAAAAGTAATCAATTTTATTTTTAAGACAGGGTCCTGCTCTGTTGCCCAGGCTGGAGTGAAAAGTGACTAATTTCTCTTTCACAGAGAAAACTAGGGAATGGATAACTAAGAACAGTCTCACAGAGAAGCATTTTTCAGCAGACTGGCAGCACTCATGAATACAAGTAAAACAACTTGCTGCAACTACATACATCTCTTTTACATCTTCTTAAAGTGGCCAAAAAAAAAAAAGTAAAAGAGGCATTAAAAAGAGGTCATGAATAGACCCAGAGATATGCCTCTCAATAGCATATACAAATAAAAATCAAACATATTAAAGACTACCTCACTGATTACCTCGATTTAATATGAATCTGAGCCTGGATGGGAATTTGCTAGAAGGATGATGATTGAGACACAAACATCAAAGACAGCTTCGAGGCTTTGAATTTGGGTGACTTGGAAGAGGAAGGAATTTAGAAGAGGGATGGGGGTGGTGCCATGGTGATCACACGCATCGCATCGTGAGGGGGTTGCATATGATCACAGTAGGATAGATATGTTTCCAGGAAGGTGATGTCTGGGACATCATGAGTTTGAGATGTCAAAACAATTGGGGAAAATGGCCAGCAAGCATTTGGCGGTGTATCAGTAGAATTTGGAAAATATGCCAAGTCATTTGTTTGGGCTGCTCTTACGGGTTACAGATTTGAGTATTGAGGTGATACTTGAGGCCATGCAAATAGAAGAAAGCCAAGAGAAAATAAAGAGAAAAAAAAAGTGACTTAGAACTTCGTTGTTATTCAGACTGCGTGTAACTATTGCTAAATTTGTTCTAAAATAGTGTTGGTTATAACTGTCTTGAAAGTGCAAAAACAGCCAGGCACAGTGGCTCACGCCTATGATCCCAACACACTGGGAGGCTGAGCAGGGCAGATCACTTGAGCCCAGGAGTTTGAGACCAGCCTGGCCAACATAGTGAAACTCCATCTCTACTAAAAATACAAAAATTAGCTGGGCATGGTGGAGCACGCCTGTAGTTCTAGCTACTCGGGAGGCTGAGGCAGGAGAATCACTTGAAGTCGAAAGGCGGAGGTTGCAATGAGCCGAGATTGTGCCACGGCACTCCAGCCTGGGCAACAGAATGAGACTCTGTCTCAAAAAATAAAAATAAAAAAGAAAGAAAGAAAATGCAAAAGCCAAAAAAGATTATCACATTAGCATGATTAGGCTTGAGGCCACTGACACAGTGTCAAACATTATATTTAAGTATTCATCAATTTTGATGAATACTTTAAATCCACACTCAGAGAATTATGCCAGTTTCACCTCCCTTCTATTTTGAACTTATTTATTTATTTATTTATTTATTTATTTATTTATTTATTTATTTTTTTAGACAGAGTATCGTTCTGTCGCCCAGGCTGGAGTGCAGTGGCACCATCTTGGCTCACTCCACTTCAGGTGGAGTGAACCTCACTCCACCTCCCAGGTTCAAGTGATTCTCCTGCCTCAGCCTCCCGAGTAGCTAGAATTACAGGTGCCCACCACCACGCCTGGCTAATTTTTGTATTTTTAGAAGAGATGGGGTTTCACCATGTTGGCCAGGCTGGTCTCGAACTCCTGACCTCGTGATCCACCCGCCTTGGCCTCCCAAAGTGCTGGGATTACAGGTATGAGCCACTGCGCCCGGCCCTATTTTGAACTTTTTTATGCATTGGTTTTCTCTTAGTCTGTAACTTGCTTGATTTTTTTTTTATTAGCTCATTAATAATAAACTCTGTTTGCCTGAGTTGGATTTGTAACACTGTTCAGTTTACCTTGATGCCAATCTGGAAATCTATTGGGATTCTGCTGTTGTAACTAACTCATGGTTTTATTCAGGTGGTGATATGCTCATTTGCCTAGGTCCCCAGAGTACATTACCTGGTGTTCACCCACCAATGAATTATTCTAGTACAACATATATCTGGGTCACCACTTTTCTTTCAAAATGTTTCAGGGAACTTATTACATGCTGTGAAAACCAATTGTATTTCTATCTTTTGAAGTATGCCCATCAGTGTTTAGGACAATGTCTAGCACATAGTTAGTGCTCAACAAATAGAGGTGAATAAATGAGTGTGGTCTTGAATACACAGATAAATTTTGAGTTATTTACTGAGGTTGTTCCCACCTTCTGTAAATTATATTATGAAATTTGAACTACTCAGTATACTTAACATAGAGATGGAATAGTCAAATTGGTGGCATTTGTACTCTAAAATAAGCTTTTGAAAAACACAAATAAGAAAATATTTTTGAGGGGCTGGGTATGGTGGCTCATGCCTGTAATCCCAGCTCTTTGGGAGGCCAAGGAGGGAGGATCACTTGAGTCTGGGAGTTTGAGACCAGTCCGGGCAACATAGTGAGAACTCATCTTCACACACACACACACACACACACACACACACACACACACATATAGCGGAGCATGATGATGCACACCTGTTGTCCCACTCACTCAGAGGGCTGAGGTGGGAGTGTTGGCAGTGGCGAATCCATACAGGTCTGCAGCTACCTCAATTATTGCTTCCTTAGAAGAAAGAATTTGACCAAGGGGCATAAGGCAGAGTGAGAGTCTGAGGCAAGTTTTAGAGCAGGAATGAAAGTTTATTAAAAAGTTTTAGATCAGGAATGAAAGGAAGTAAAACACACTGGAAGAT